CCCATGGTCCCCCCGCCCCCCCCCAAACCCTTTACTTACCAGCACTGGAGTCTGGGTCCAACTCCCTGCTGCTGGCACACTACCTGCTCTGCATGGGCAGGCAGTGTACTTCAGCACCAGGGCAAGGGCCAACCATAGAGATGCTCTGGCAGCCAGAGTGTCTCTGTGGATGACCCAGCCTCTGGTTGCCTTAGGACCATGCCCTGGCCCGCTTTTTTTTTTTTTCTCTGCAGGTTTTTTTGACCCCTGGATATTCAGGGGTCTAATTTTGGCCCCACGCTGCAAATTTGCAGCGCGGGGAACATTTTCTCGTTTCTGCGTGTGCCTCTTGCAGCATCTCAGACTGCTTTGAGTCGCTGCAAGAGGTATGTGCAGAAACAAGAAAATGGGATATCCAGGGGTCAAAAAGGCACGTGCGGGCTCATCTGGATGCGCCCAAAGTGGCCAAACAGTTCCAGGCCTGTCATTTATACAGAAATTGCATTGGGGTAGCAAGTTACCCCAATGTTAACACGGGCTTGGGTCAAGTTGTTATCTCATGGAAAAACACGTTCACGCCTTGTAACATGTTACCCATGGCAGTTTTTCATCCACAGACCGCCAAACCAGTTATGTAAGCTGGCTGTTCTTTGGGGATATTGTGCCACTGTGGTACCAGTGACAATGTCCTAAAAATAATTTTTTGTAGAATTAATTAACTTTAAGATACTGCACAAAATATAAGTCTGGGGTAGGAAATTATCCCATGGGAACGTATGAAGGTTAAGCCCTTTGCTACTTGCCTTGTTCCCCTGCCTGCACCTTAAGAACATAAAAGGAAATGGCAATTAACTGTTCTTTATAACTCTTCCTGCATTTGATATGTTATCAAATTCACTTCAGTCTTCTTTTCTTCTAAATTAATAATCTCTTCTTGTTATGTTTATTATTCATCTAATTGTTTTTATTCTGCTCTGGACTCAGTTTGTTCATAACTTTCTTGAAGTACCTAGAACAGCACTCTAAGCGAGGCCTCACAAGTATTGAATAGAGCGGATGAATCATTTCCTCTGGCCTGTATGCCAGAGTCCTGTCAATACCTTCTAGGATGTTATTCGCCCTTTCCCCCTGACAATATTATACTACTCACGTTCCTTTCTTCAGTACTGGAGCCTAGCTAGTCATTCCATGTTTATATGTGTATATTTGATTGTTTATTCAGAAGAGTAGTACTTTGCATTTCTAAGTGTGGTGCAAGTAAACAGTTGATTTGCAGATTATAGCAACAATTATAAAATTGCCACTTAATTTAACATCATTTACAGTTGCTACATGTCTGTTATTGTCTCTCAGTAATGGCATTCAGGGTGACTGGTAGAGCTGTCTGAGCCATTCTGTGTATTGAATATCCCATTGTTTGGCACTAATGCAAGCAGCATTTGTATATTCAACCATTAATGGTAGTCTCTTAAATCAGGTAGTGATATTCTGCAATACAAATAGATACTATTTTCTGTGGGATCTCAAATGATTTAATAGTGCTTATTTATTAGTTGTCTTGACAGATCAAACAGTGAACTAACCATTTTCCTGTTTTCCTATTTTAACATGTAAGTAGTGGTATTAAGCCATATATTATTTGAGTCTATCTAAGCTCATTTTTTCTTGTCTAAAAAAAAAAAAGCAAAAATAATTTAGAATGTATGCCCGCCCATGCGGTCACTTTTTAACTCAATAGTTTCTCCTTGTCATTCAAAAAGTCTTGTGATAGAACCGCAGTTAGTTATTTTTAAAAGATGCATGAATTTTGCAAAAAGTTAAATGAAAAAACGTCTCTCCTTTTGTAGACTGTAAAGTAACTGAATGAAATTTTTATGCTGTACAGAGTAAAGTAATAGCAACTATTAAGCTGCTTAAACCCAGAGAAGTGACTGTTTACTAGACACTTGTCTTTCATAGACATTATTTTATACATGGCTTTCTATCCTAGTGCATGTCTATCAGTGCAGTGTTGTGCAGAAATAATGTAAGAGATTAAAAATAAGGTGCCATCTTTCAACCTGTTTTAATTGCTGAAGTCTGCAGTTTGCTTTTCTACCTTTCTTCCAAGAGACCCATGCTGCCCTCATTGCATCTCACATGAAGTACAGATTTCATGTTTTGCACTGTTGACAAACTTGTCTTCCTGCTTTTTACTACCCTCAATGGACTTCAGTTGCTACTTCCTCTCCATTTCTTCTTGCTGTGCTGTGAATGACCTTGAACTCATCACTTGAGACCACTGACTAGACCATGTCCTGGGGAGGGATGCCCTCAAGCATTCTCCCCCACACCTTGCTTGCCCAGTCAAACCTGGAAATGCAGCAGTGAAGCCTCCCTATGATCCGTGTCCCATAGCCATTCTCAACACCTTGGTCTCTAAATGTGCTTTAAAGCAGTTGTGGGGAAACACACCTGGAGATATCTGGGGGGTGGTTTCCAGGTTTGGTTTGTGATGAAGGGAGTGGGTGGGCAAAGCATAGTTGAAAGTTTCTTTTTCAGGAAAACTGGGAATGTGGTATAAGTATCCTTAAGTTTTATCTCAATTCTCCCTCTGGAAAAACAGTATTCTACTTAGATTGCCATAACATGGATGTTGTTAAAATGTTAATTGTTTTATTTTTAGGGAGTAACAGGGGCTTTGGCAGTTTTGATGAAGGATGCAATTAAACCAACACTAATGCAGACATTAGAGGTGAGTCCAGTGTATTAATCTTCTGGGGGTTTTCCTGTTTTCCTTGTTTTAAAGTTCTGTGTTATACTTGTCACTGTTCTAGCTATAGAAGGTTGTGCCCTAAATAATATTGTTCAAATCAGGCTGAGCACTGCAAGAACATTTTCACAACTATTCATTTAAATATATAACTAATTACTTTCAATCATGTTTGTCTCCTCACTTTTCCTCTGCATGAATCTTTTGAGCTCTACCATGAGTTCTGAGCTAACTATAATGCATTATTGTTGCACTGCTGCTGGAACAAACTAGAAGACCTGTCTTACCTCTCATCCATAGCTTACTTTGCTTACCTTGTTCCATTCTCACCATGCTACAATGAGAGAGTTTAAAAAATAATAATAATGGCTGTATTTTTAGAAAATTGTAATGGACACCCAAAATTTGATTTATTAGTTGTGAAGTATTCATTCAACTCTACTAGAAACACTTTTGGTTGAAAAAATATTTTTGGTCATATTAGAAATATGTGTACCACATGCAAGGGAGTAGTTTAGTTTACTTTTAAGTCTGAAAACAGATTTATATTTTTGAAAAGCTCGTGTTCCAAAATATTTAAACAGTGTTGATATAGACAACTCCTTTTGCCCTGAACAAGTTGGTAGCTACAGAGAGGTAGTAGTAGAGTCCTCGGTTGATAAAAATTTCCTATGTTGCCCATGAGCTTTCAAAGCGTTAGCAACATTTTCACTTGCTGGGTGCAGGTTTGTATTATTACTTAAAGGGGAAAATTTGGTATAACAAATTTTTGTTTCACCCATGGTATATTATGGTGCAAAAATAGGGTTTAAATTATGATGTGCTTTTGATTGTAGCCAACCTTCTCTTAGATTAATTGGTTTCTTTTGCAAAGCTCTTTCTCTCATGTGGCTGTATTTTAAAAAGAAAAGTTTGCACGCGTTTCAGTGTACAGCATAACATCCAGTAACACAAATAGCAGATCGCTTAGAAACAAACAAAAAAAAAAAATATTGTCAGACGTCGGGGCACTAAATTTCTATTATTGACAAACTTTTGTGTACATTAAAGCATTTGACACAGCGTAGCTTTCGATTCTGCTGACTAGCCTATGTCATTCTATTAGCCATGTATATATCTGTTGGGAAATGGCATTGTGTGAAAAGCTGTGGTTTTGCTTTATTTTAATAGAAAATTATAAATGTCAGCATGGTTTAATTTGATTGATGGGCTTTTGGCTATGGGAGCAATATGCTTTTACTTTTCAGCTGTTTTTCAGTATATTTTTTTTTTATTCACATTTCTAAACCATACTGATTTCTGCTTTTATGTAGTTTACTCTTTCTGACCCAGTTGATACAACAACTGAAACATCTATCAACACTACTGATAATGTGGTTTCAATACCATTTTAATATCCAGGGATAGTTTCTCCTGAAGCTTATACCGCAACATAATTTTTAAAAATCAACCAAATCTAGTACTAAAGAGTAGAGTGCCTTAGTTCCCAGTCTTGCAATCAGATCCTCATTGGCAGATTCTTGTGCCCCTTTGTATTCATATAAATTCCAGTGCGAACTTATCAGTAATCTACCCAAGCACAAATTCTTCTCCCTTTAACTCTTTGTAAGGCATTACCTTCCCTATGAAAAAAGGTTGAGCTTTCTTGTTTGTCTCTGTAGATCCCATAGCCTCCAGTCTCAGAACTTTCTTGCATAGAAGTGTCCTTGAGCAACACACATGCCCTAGGCTACTTCATGTTTCCATTCAAGGCCACAAAGGGGAGCAGAGCCACAGTCATCCCTTGTTTCTCTTACTGCCCTGGGGAAACTAGGGATCCAACATCCCTTGTTTCTCTTTCTTCTTTAGAAACAGATGTTTCAAATCCCTTTGATATTGAGGGATGGAAGGAAAATACTATCTAAGAAGGCAGTACAAAAGACTGGGAGACTAGCATTGGTACCAATGGCTAATCTATTACCGACACACTTAATCTTAGCTTTGTAAGAGGCACCTTTGCTTGAAGACCCTGGCACTGGACCGAAATCCAAAGGTACTGATGCTCCTAGAGATGTGCTTCTCTCTCCTGTCTTTGAATCATCAAGCAGAAAATGCTTGTCCCATTAGAAATAGTAGAAATGTGACTGACAGGCATGCATCAAGACTCTGCTTTAAAAAGGCACCTGTTATTTTGAAGGAAATCCAGGTGAATATAGCAGACTTTGAGGAAATTGAGTTCTTCACCAATTGGACAGGAGTCAGAGAGGGGACTGGAGTTCTCCACTGGCCCGAGGTGGGGCCAGGACCTAGGGTAGGCCACAGATTGATGGAAACCAGTACCAGAGAGGAAGGGGATCAATGGTCCTGCAGCCCAGAATGAAGATGGCCAAGTCACGACTATATGAAGGTCAGGAGGAGTCAAGAGAAACAGCTGTGGAATGAGTGACCCAGATAATCTTGCCGGCTTGTCAAGGGGGCCAAGACCCTGGGAGGGGCCCAGGGCTGGAGGTGGCCACAGTGAAAGATTGCCAGAGCCAGAGAGGGGCCCAGAGTGCTCAACGGGCCCAAGGTGAGGCCAGAGCCTAGGATAGGCCAAAGGTCCAGATGGGACCATTGCCGAAGAGGAAGAGGTCAGAGAAACTGAGGCTCAGAATGGTGATGGCTGTGATGTGGCCATCGGAAGTGAAGGAGGGTCAAAGAGAGAACAAGCCAGGGCCAGGAGGCCTGGAGGAGAACGACTGAGCCCCAGAGGGGTAACGATGATTGGGGCAGGACAGCTGGGAGGTCAGTCCTGGGTATAACTGAAAGTTGTACCCTACTGGGGTTTAGGGTCACCGTGGTGGGACTGCTCACAGTGGAGCAGCCCCAAGAGAAAGCCCCTAGAAAGGGCCAAACCCCAGGGAAGGGCCAGTCTGGGGTGCCCCATAACCCCAGCCTCCACTGCCTTGCCGGTTACCCATTGGCGGGGAAAAGCTAGGGGAGCTGACCCGGAAATAAGAGCAAGGGCAAGACCACATAGTTCCAAAGGCCCAGGCAGGGGCCGAGAAAGACAAGGACCAAAAGAAAAGTGAAGAAGCCAGGGGCTGGGCTGGGACAGAGGAAAGAGGGGCACCAGAAGGGCCCAAAGGCCCAGGAAGAGCTGAGAGAGTGGGACCAGAAGGGTCCAGAGGCCCAGGAAGGGGCCGGGAATAGTGTGGGACCATAAGGGTCTATAGCCCTAGAGAGTGGTTGGGGAAAACCGTGGGACCGTAAGGATCCAGGAAGAGACCAAAGGGGTCTGGCAGCCCAGAGAGGGGCCAGGTGAGAAACCGAGGACCCAGCAGCCCAGAAAGGCGTGATAGTCTAAGGGGTCTGATAGGCCAGATGAGAGACCAAAGGGGTCTAACAACCCAGAGACAGGCCAAAAGGGGGGACCGAGGGGTCCAGCAGCCCAGGGAGGGTCTGAGCCAAGAGATTGAGGGGTCTGAGGGCCCATAGTCAGGCTGAGTGGGGCTCAGGGGTCTGAGGGCCCAGAGAAGGGCTGTAAGAGAAAAAACATCAATGAGGATGACATCTGTGAGGCTTAAGGTATGGTGTAGGGGCAGAATGAAGATGCACAATTGGCCCATAAGACCTTGACCACAAACCTCATGGTCATCATAAGACCAGGGCATCTTCTCTTATTCTTTATACCAATTAACATCAAGACATGATGGGTAAGAGCAGGGCAGACTCCCTGTAGAGCAGGGTACAAAAATGTTTTTGTCTCCAGGGGCTTTACGGCTTCCCTGGAGATGGTACCCTGTAATGCTTACAAGCCAACGTTGTGGGTGTCAAAAATGTTGCCAACCCCTGGTGTAGATATTATTGTTATCCAATGTATTTTTGTTCCTTGTTTACTGCAAAAAGAGTCCTTATTTGCTTTGTCCATGAGCCATGAAAGAGATCCTTCACAAGTAGAGGGAAGAGGCTTCTTCTAAAGAAAAGGGACTTTTTCTCCTATCTGAAAGAGACTGAACAAATACTATGAAACACTCCAGATCCAGAAGAGCAGCACTTGCCTCCATCTTTCCCCCCTCGTTCAGACTTGGGACTGGTTCATGGCTCTTAACTTAAGGGACATGTATGTTATTTATATCTTATATGATAAAGTTAACAGAAGCTGCAGCAGCATAAATTTACTCTTCAAAGACATTCCACTAGATCACAGTTAGTGATAATAAATAGCCTTACCTTTTGTTGTTAAACCTTGTGTCCACACATGCAAATATATGATGCCATTTACCAGACTTTGAGACCACTGCAGTCTTTGCTCTGATCAGTTTGTTCTCTTGCACTAACAAACGGAAGAATCATAGTACTGCCATAAACCTTCTGACGGCGAGCAGTGGCTATAGACTAGCATCATCCAAAAAGGTACCATTTTGATCAGTGTCACAGTGTGACACACTGGTCACAGATGAATTGCCTTATCCAAGGATACAAGAAGTATCTACCTCCAAGCTATCCAGAGATACAAGAGGTCTAGTTCTCACAGGATGCAAGCTACACATAAGCCTCTTAGCATGTATGATGTTTCTCTCTGTTCTGTAACATTCTGTACCATACATATTGACAGATAATACCTTAGCCATGCACTAAAATGGACAAGGGGGGCCCCATGCTTTTTCTCTCTCCCCCTCCTGCAGAGAAGCCATCAAGTTCTTGGAATGGTATCATTGGGCTGGCATAACCTTGATAGCTTTATACTTCCTCCAGCAGTCAGCAGTGACCTGGCAATGGTCTTGAGCAGGTAATTCATCACCAACCACAGACTGATTCCTATAGGGAACACCTATCACAAGCTTGATGTTCTCCATCAGTGGGGACACCACTGATAAACGTGTTTGTAAGCCTCTGTGAGTCGGCAGTGATCCGATCCGGCTGCTTCGGATGCCAGGGATCTGATCTAGAGCTCCGGACCAGGTTCCTGCTTCGATCTGGCCGAAGCAGCTCTGAAGCTTTGGAGCCACCTCGGAGATCAGACCATAGGGTGTAATGGGGAATCAATTAAATATCTGTAACTTTGTTGTTCTTTGTACGATCTGGATGAAACTTGCAGGGATGGTAGCCCCTGCTGAGAGCATGAAGTTTGCCAAGTTTCAAGAAGATTGGTGCAGGGGTTTGGGGGCAACTGTACCCCAAGTTCTTGAAAGCAAAACTCATGTCAGGTGTGTGTGTTACAACACGGGGGGTCAAAACTGTGGGGCTGGTGGCTCCTGGTAAGGCCAAAAAGCCTGCCAAGTTTCAAGACGATCGGTGCAGGGGTTTGGAGGCAACTGCACCTCAAGCTGCGGACAAGCAAAACTCGTGACATGGGTGATACTTCGTGTGTTAAGGCGCAGCAGGGTGAAAGCTGCAGGGATGGTGGCCCCTGCTGAGGCCACGAAGCCTGCCAGCTGTCGAGGAGATCGGTACGGGGGGGTTCTGGGGCCCTGCACCCCTAGCTGCTGACCGACAAAACTGATGACATGGGTGCTTGTGCAACTGACTGTCTGTATTGATTATTCCTCTCCTTAGTCTCTGCTTTTGTAGGTGTTAATTGATCATAATTTACTGGCTACATTAGCTAGCTACTATGTATTGAGCTGGTCCCTGAGTGAATCATGATTGATTGGTAACTGGTAACACAGTAGCTTAGCAGCCAGGCTGCAGTAGGTCTCCTAGGTCCCAAGACAGACACAGTTGCACAAGCAGCCATGTCATGAGTTTTGTCTGTCAGCAGCTAGAGGTGCAGGGCCCCAGAACCCCCCTGCACCGATCTCCTCGACAGCTGGCAGGCTTTGTGGCCACAGCAGGGGCCACCATCCCTGCAGCTTTTAGCCCGCTGTGCCTTAATACACACTATGTCACCCATGGCACGAGTTTTGCTTGTCCACAGCTTGAGGGGCAGTTCCCCCCATACCCCTGCACCGATATTCTTGAAACTTGTCAGGTTTCGTGGCCTCACCAGGAGCCACCACTCCTGCAGTTTTCACCCCCCTGTGGTGTAACACATAGATGTGACATGAGTTTTGCTTTCAAGAATTTGGGATGCAATTCCCCCCAACCCCCTGCACTGATCTTCTTGAAACTTGGCAGGCTTCGTGGCCTCACCAGGGGCTACTTCGCCTGCAGTTTTTACCCCCCTGTGATGTAACACATGTGACATCAGTTTTGCTTTCAAGAATTTGAGGTGCAATTCCCCCTGAACCCCTGCACCAACCTTCTTGAAACTTCACAGGTGTCATGCTCTCAGCAGAGACTACCACCCCTGCAAGTTTCATCTAAATCAGACAAAAAACAACAAAGTTATAGGTATTTCATTGATTCCCCATTATACCCTATGGCTGGATCTCCAAAGCAGCTCCGAAGCTTTTCTAAAGCGCTTTGGGAGCTCTGAACCGCTTTGGGAAGCCTAACAAAGCCAGTGCTTTGATCTGGACGTGCTGCTTCGGACACCGAAGCATCCAAAGCTTCTCTGGATCCGAAGCTCTGTCGGAAGCCTTGCACAGCACTATGTGTTTGCAAAGGAGCCAGCACATTTGTCAGAGACCCATTGAGGGGCCTGAGGAGCAACATTCTGTGTCCACAGATTCCTTTTCAAGAAGTCACTGCTGGAAACTTTCCTTCTGCTTAAGTCTTCCTCTACACACATCCACTTATTCCCAGACCAGTTGTCAATGCCAGCAGAATCAGGTCATGCTCATCAGCCCTAATGGCTGAGTTTTGGATGACCAACCTGATACAGATGTCCTTGCAGCCAATTATCTGATGTCCTGACCATCGAACTTTCTGTCTCAGACCATGGTTAGTTCTTCCATCAGGCCCACAGCCTCAGCAGTTGATGGTCTGGTTAAGTACTACAGAAAGGGAATGCAACCTACAAAATCACAAAATCCTGATAAAGGATATGAAAAATTTCACCAGAAGAGCTAATTGCTAAGTAGAAATGGTGGTGGTTATGGACTGCCTTTCATCGCAGTACTGAAGATCCTTGATTATTTGCTGAAGGTAGGGTGCTATTGGCACTCCTTTAATTTGAACCAAGTCCACCTGGCCACTCACTGTTTCAGAGTACCATCCAAATGTACAGCCACCCTGTCTTGCCCAATGCTATCCAAAATTCTAAAAGGCCCCATGCTGACTTCTGCTAGTCAATGAACCTATGCTAGCATGAGCATCTTCCAAAAGTTGACAGTGTCCCATGTGGATTCTTCTCGTGGTGATCCATCCATCATCTTGCCCTTGAAAGTCTTTCTGATGCCCGCCACCACAGCTGGAATAGGAAACAGCCAGGGCAACCTGAAGTTCTCTCGTACGTCATTCTTTAAAAACAAGAGAATACTGAGGCTGAGGACGTTTGGAAACTAAACTGGAATATACAGGTTTCCTCTGCATTGATTTTTTTTTATTTAAGATTTTTTTTTCCCTAAATGTCTAAAACGCTAACAAGCATTTCACTGCTGTAGTCCCTGCATGATACACTGGGTCAGCAGTATAGTAGTGATGATAATATAATTCTTCTTGTTTCGGGGCATGATTTTTGTTTCACTTTTTCTTTCTGCTTTTTTTTGTTCCACTCTTTCATTTTCAAAATATGAATGGCAGGGCGGGGTAGCCATTAGCTGGTTCATGAAAATTTGTCTTCTAGGTAGCATCCCTTCCATATACAGTCCCATGCACACTTCTTTTTCCTAACATTGATAAAACCACAGCGGTGTAGTTAGCACTGTTAGTATGAGGTTCAGGCAGATCACAGGGTAGACAACTGAATTAAAGATGTATAAGATTTTGACAGCAAGAGCTCACTTCAGAAGATATATGAACCCTGAAGCTTAATATGTAAGAGTCTTAAATGCTACTGTATCTCTTCTAAACAAAAAGGGTAATGTTTCTTTCACAGATTGAGAAGATACAAGATTTAGTTTATTGTGGTTGATATTCTATGAAAGGGATGAACTAAAATAGGTTGCTTAAATAAAGTAATTTTAAAATGCCGAGTCATCTGCTTTTACTGGTTCCCCCTGAAGTAGTCTTTTCCTTTATTAAGTACTGAAGCTTTTTAAATGGTATAAGGAAGATTTAAGTTAATTTTGGTAACTTTACTGTTTCACCACCCTAACTAAATTGTTATGGCGTTCTGTAAAGAATATGGAAATCTTAGGAGTTGATTCTTTTGCATATCAAATTATTAAGCTATTTCTCAAAAATAAAAATATAAGGAGCAATCAGCTTTATCTTCTAGATAATCTAAGGCTGTTTACTTACTGTCTCCAACTAGAATATCTTGAAAGCGTTACCGTATTTTAATACAAAAAAATAAAACAATGTTTATGTTTTACAGCCAAAGGGCTGAAATTGCATCCCTTTCTATTTGAGAATTAAAATATATTAGATAAAATATTTTATCATGCACGCATTCTGCTCAGATACTGATTCAGACCAACATTTTTTGTTAATACACTTCCCTTCCTTTTTGTTTTATTTTATGAATTCCTTCCTTAAAACTCTTTTCCTTTGATGCCTCCAAAAATAACCCTTGTAAACAGAAAGGCAGTTGGAATACTGTATTCTTGGTCTTTATCGGTCTGACCGATGACATTCTTCTTTCCTTATTACTCCCCTCTGTGCCTACATTCACCTCATTTCATTATTTAGATTTTCAGCTCTTTGAGACGGAAGAGTTCTCTTCCCTCTATGCCCCTATTTGTTTAACCAAACGTAACAGAGACAGTTGGGGCTTCTAGAATACTATAGTAATGTAAGGAACCATGTGTAGAAATCTGTGGAATATGCTGCTGTGTAGTTTGAATTACTGTCATTCAATAGTTCTGATTTCTGCTATTGGTTTATAGTAAAAGCCACGTTAACCAGCACTTCATTAACTGGCTTGCTCTATTAACCGGCATGCCGGTTGACGTGACAAAAGGGAAGCCAGAAGTGGGACTTTCAGTTTTGTCAAATCTCACAGCTGGGGGAAAGCAGCCTGTGCGGGGTAAAGCAGTCTGCGCGGAGCCGCCCTCCCCCCCCCCCCCTTTCCCCCAGCACACTGACACCAGGGGAGGGGCGGGAGGGACAGCACAGTTAATCTGAGATGTGGACACAGCGGGAGGGATGTCTTTTCCTGACCAGGCAAAGACACCTCTCAGATAACCGACACATTTGGTTATCTGGCACCCCCCATTTCCCATGGGTGTCAGATAACGGAGCTTTTGCTGTAGATCATTTTTTGTAATATCTAGGCTCTTCTGTGAATGCAGTTATGGCCCTAACATGTCACTAAAAGTTTAAAAAAAAACAAAAAACAAATTACCAGTTACTTTTACCTCTCTTTAAGTCAGACAAGTTTCCAGTTAGTGCAGTACCTAGACAGAAGGGTTTTTGGTCTCTAAGTTGATCTGTAGAATTAGTTCCCTTTTCTGGCTGTTACATTATTCATACATATTAACTATTTTTTTTCATATTTGTCAGGGGACTCCTGTATTTGTGCATGCTGGACCTTTTGCCAATATTGCACATGGGAATTCTTCTGTTTTGTCAGACAAAATTGCCCTTAAACTAGTTGGAGAAGAAGGATTTGTGGGTAAGTAATTTTTTGGATACTCTGTTGCGAATAGTAACCAATAAGCTGGTCTGTATAACTGTATAGTTTCCACAAACAACAAGTGTTAATGGAAGAATAAAATGGATGAGGCATGTTGGTAGGTTGTTCTAAACATATAGTTGTTGACGTATTTTTAAGCTTCTTCAAAGATAAGTGCAAAAATGGCTTCTGCTTAATCAAAAGATACACTTACAGTCTGACCTGTTCATTTTACTGAGACTTTCAACATTCACTGGGAACCACATGGATGGAAAAACTCTTGACAGCTCAAATGACCTCTACATAAAACGATTACTTAAATTTAAATTGTACATTTTCATTATTGATGGTATCAGAGCCAGAAAGAGCTCAGCTTGTTTGAGATTCCAGGTTGAGATTGTACTGCTGACCTTTGGAAATACATTTTTTTTCCCCATGTAAATTTGGTAAATTTGATGTGAAAGTCAACCATGGAACCTAAAAAAGCAGTTTCAAGTGACTTTTATTAGAGGATGATTGCTATTTAAACCCTCTTCTTCTGTGTTGTGAATTCAAACAATAACAGCATGATTCTAGAGGTATAAACCCAGGAAGTCTCTCTTCATCATCTAAACTGAATGACAGGCAAAATAAACTCTAAGCTCAAATAATGGAAAGTAAATTAGATTTAAAATATCTTTTTAAAAAAAATCTCAGTTAACAGAAGTATTGATTATTTTTAGATAGTGCTTATGTTAGTGTGCCTATAAAGACATTGTTTCCAGAGGTGGATAATACAGATGAACAAAAATATGGTGCAATGTAATTGCAAGTCATTTAGCAGAAATGGTTACATCTTTGTTGTTACAAAATGTAGGGCACTCGTGCTTAAACAGTGTTTGATATTTTTTTCCTTTACAACAGCTTTGTTCCTTCCTACTCAACACTTTCATTTTTGTAAAATGGCATGGCATGCAAGTTTGCTTTGTTAGTTTTCATGAACAATGCATCTCTGCAAAAACAGTAGGTTGGGCTTTGTGCTGTAAACTGATTAAATATAAATGTGCACTTCTGGGTATCAAGGACAGAAGTAAATTTAACCATCCTTTAGACACGTTTAGATTCATAGTGACTTCAGCATGGACATCAATCTGCCACCCCGACCCCTTAGCCCGGCAAGTCTGCTGCTTCCCGGGGGCCTGCATCCGGGACATTACGGAGAGGATCCCAAGGCTCCTTAAACCCACAGACCACTATCCCATGCTCCTTATTCATGTGGGCACCAATGACACTGCTCGGAGCACTCCCAGCCAGGTCATGAGGCGCTACAGGGATTTGGGAGCGGGGCTTAAGGGTCTGGGGGCACAGGTAGTGTTCTTGTCGATCCTCCCAGTCTCAGGCTATGGGCTGAGAAGGGACAGGAGGATCTATGTGGTCAACCAAAGACTGCAGCGCTGGTGTCGTCAGGAAGGCTTTGGCTTTCATGACCACAGCCCGCTCTTTGGCGAGAGAGGCAGCGAGCTGCTGGGAAGGGATGGCCTCCACCTCTCTCCCCTAGGGAGGAGGCTCTTCTCAGCCAGACTGGCTGACCTGCTCCACCGGGCTTTAAACTAAGCCCGTTGGGGGACGGGGGGACTACCACCACTGCTGGCCCGCTGAGCAACCCTTGCAAAGCCAGCAGATCACGGCGCTTCAGGGAGCCCACCCCTGCCCCAGCCCTGGTAAAATCTGTGTGCAAGGAAGGAGCCCCCCAGGGGGCACTTGCCTGCCTGTACACTAATGCCAGGAGCTTGGGGAATAAGCAGGAGGAGCTCATCCTCATGCTCAGTGCAAACAATTACGATGTCATAGGGATAACGGAGACCTGGTGGGACTCCACCCATGACTGGACCACGGGGATAGATGGCTATACCCGGTACAGGAGGGATCGTGTAGAGAAAAGGGGCGGGGGGGGTAGCTCTCTATGTTAAGGAAAACTACACATCCCTGCAAGCCGATATTGGCGACCAGGGTGGACGGCTGGAGACCCTCTGGGTTAAAATCCGTGGGGAACACGGCACAGGGGACACAATGGTGGGAGTCTATTACAGACCTCCCACCCAAAGTCCTGAGCTTGACCAGGAGTTTGCCCAGGAACTGGCTGAGGCAGCTTGCTCCAGGACCATGGTTGTCATGGGTGACTTCAATTACCCAGACATCTCGTGGGAGGATCGCTCAGCAAAATCTGAGCGGTCGCAGAGCTTCCTCTCGTGCGTGGATGACCTCTACCTGACTCAAGAAGTCTATGGGCCAACGAGAGGCAAAGCGCTGCTCGACCTGGTACTGGCTACTGGGGATGACCTAGTCGGCGACCTAGTGATCGAAGGGAAGCTGGGTGACAGCGACCATGATCACCTTCACCATCCGCCGAAAAGCTGGCAAGTCGGTCAGCAACGCGCAAGTCCTTGACTTCAGGAAAGCCGACTTTGACAAGCTCAGGAGGCTTGTCAGTGAGGCCCTAAGGGACCGTGACCACAGGGAGAGGGGAGTTCAAGAGGAGTGGTTGCTCCTCAAGGGAGCGATCCTCAATGCACAAACTAAGTCTATTCCATCTCGGAGGAAAGGCAGCAAGAGGGCACAGCAGCCCCCCTGGCTCTCCAGGGACCTAGCAGATCTCCTGAGGCTAAAAAGAAAGGCCTACAAAGGGTGGAGGATGGGAGTCACCTCCAAGGAGGATTATTCTGCACTGGTCCGGTCCTGTAGGGAGCAGACCAGGAAAGCCAAGGCTGCAACTGAACTCCAGCTAGCTTTGAGCATCAAGGACAATAAGAAGTCCTTTTTCAGATATGTGGGGAGCCGGAGGAAAAGCAGGGGCAACATTGGACCCCTGCTGACCCAGATGGGGCAACTGACAACTGA